GAGAATTAATTAAAATTAGAAATTAAATAAAACCCTAGTTCTAAATTGTTTTTAATTATTAAAGAAAAAGATTAAAGTTTTAACCTAATTTATACTAATTATTTAATAACATGAGTATTTACAAAAATAATTAATAGTCAATAATAATAATAATAAGAAAACTTTATTTATTGAGAAAAAGAATAAAAATGCTAAAAACCTAATTTTTATGTTTTTTTTAGTTTATTTAAGAAAAACATTAAAGTTGAAAAACCTAAAATTAAACTAGTTTGATTATTTAAAATTTATTTACAAAATATATTAATGCATTAAATATTAAATGAACATTTTTTATTTTCTTGATTTCTGATTTTTTTTGGTTTTATGAAAATTATTTTGGTGAATTAATTAAAACAATAAAACAAATTAAAAAGAATAAAAGGGAAAAAATAATAAAAGAAAAAGAATAAAAGATTGAGCAAACCCTGGGGGTGTCTGGACCCAAAGGGAGGTCTTTGAAGCAATCAGGCCCACTGCAATCCAGGCCTTTGTTGACTTTTTGTGATTGTGTATGGAGTGTTTGACTAGCGCGTATGATGGAGTTCATGTGATAGCCTTTGGATTGAGACCCCTGGACACTTGGCAGGCAAGGATGTTTGGTGGACCACTGGAGCGAAGTATCACCTGATCATGTTACAAACAAAATCATGAAGAAATATGGGGGACCTGGGAATCGAACCCAGGTCCCAAGGCTTGCCAATCACGTTCCCAACCACTATGCCATTCAACGCGTTTGTAATAATTTTGGACATTAAATATTATAATAAGAAACAAAGGTTAATGATATGAAAACAAGAAAATGCGCCAGATTTTTGAATCAACCAACCACGTGATGACACCCGGTCTTCTTCTTCGCTTGTCCTAAAAAATAAGAAACAAATAGCGGGGGTTTTAAACCCCCACTAAACTCAAACCTGCAAAATAGCGATAAGAGCATGGTTAAAAAGAAAAAGGGCGCGAGGTATGGATTCTATTTGTCAGAATGTCACGATTTTAATGGTGTAGGTCTTATTGTCTAATTTTCCCAGATGAAGAAAGCCCTAAATTTGTAGCTTTGAAACCCTAGCAACCATCAATGGTAACTTTTGACACAGGCAGTATTAATCCAATTGGAGAACACCAATAGCTTTAGAATCATCATGTTAGTATAAATCAATCATTAAAAGACATTAATAATGTATGAAAATGCAAACACGAATATGGAAAATTTTATGAACATGGCAACGCGGTTCTACCAATTCTTGAGGTCAGGGTCTATGTTCTCGATTGCAATCTCTTCCTGGTGGTGTCAGCAAGCCTTTGGAATAGTTTTGAGGCCTTGAATCACACTGCAACTATGAAAATAGTTTTTTTGATATTTTGTGAAAAAAGTGCAACCTTGTTCTATGAGTTTCTGCGCAGCTTGCTTGTCCAATGCATTAGGTTTTCAATGTGCATATGTATGTGAGTGAATTAGGTCAAGAAAACTGGCCCATAATCCATGCATTGATGTTTTTGATATTTGATTTTCAAGCATCTTTTTCCAAATCTTTTTCATGCCAATCATTGCCAATTGTGGAAGATTTTGTCCCTTGATGTGGTACACGAAATATTTAGGTCTTAATGGGAGAATATGCTGCACAAAAAGATTTGGAAAACATGTTTTAGTATTTTTCTCATAATTAATTTTAATTAAATGAATTAATAGGATTAAAAATTCAATTAATTGATTAAAAATAAGAAAATAACTTCCTTTTAGCTTAATGGGTCGTGCCTAGCTTTTGGGTGATGATTTATGGAAGAAATTGAGGCCCATTAGCAATTTTGAGGCATTTGAAGCAAAGTTGACTTTTCAAAATTCCCAAAAATTTCCCAACTTCCACAAGGCATATCTTGCTCAATTTTGTAATCTTTGATCATGTTCTTGGACATTTTGGAAAGGTCTTGAAGTCCTATAACCAATGCCTTTGGTCCCATGTCATTTTGATTTACCAATATCAAGTTATGGTCTTTGACTTAAAGTGCCTTTTTGTTGACTTTTGAAAATGACCTATAATGTTGAGATTGATAACTTTTTGTGAGAGCATTTCTTGAACTTTAAGTGTGAAGATGAGTTGTAGGAAATGTCATTCTCTTCAAAATGAGCTTTGGATGGAATTTTTCTGATAAACCATGTGGAAGTTATGCCTTGGTCAATTTGCAGTTGACTTTTTCAACTGTCCAGAAATAAAAACTTTTGCATCTTGAGTCTTTTTGAGCCATGCCTTGAGAATCATGATCAAGAATTGATCAAATGATGTTTGTGGCTTCAAAATAAGATATTGACCAAAAATTTGGACTTTTTACTGTCAAATGACCATTTTGCCCCTGCAGTTGACTGTGAAGCAATTAGGGTTTTTGACTGTGCAATTTGATGCTGTGAGTCTTGAAACTTGGCATGTGGGTGCTTGACAATGTTTGTAGGCATGTGGGACTTGATTGGACCCTTGGAAACTTCAATTTCTTTGCCAGAACCAAAGCCCTAATTTTTGACTGTTAGGAGACCATTGGACTGTGCAACCTTTGGGAGATTTTGAAGCATGCTCTTAGCAAATCTTGAAGAAAATGGGAGGGCAAATTTTGGGGTACAACAGTGTGTTACAAGTTAAGTCAAGATTAAGGACTATGTATTTTGCAACGATTCTAAGGAAAGTTAGTAAAAGAGCTTCTGATCGTGACTTATTCAGGGAAGCTTTAGAGGCCTTCTAAAGCTTTAATTCTAATGTTCCATGTTTTGAAGATACTAAAGACAAGGTTTTGCTGAACATATTTTGAAGATCTGAAGACATTCTTCTGAAGACTAAGTGTTGAATACTGAGAATGCAAGAGTTCTCTGAACAAGCCCTGAAAGGTTCTAATGACTTATGTTTTGGAAGATACTAGTTCTGATCCTTCTAAAACATGATTCATCAATAAACATATCAAAAGCCTTTGAAGACTTAGAAGATGAAGATCAAGACTAAGGGGTTGTGTATGATGGTGAGTATGAAAGTATAAAAGTATAATGTGCCTCTACTCTCTAGAGTGATGCAAGGAAAGACCTTTTTGTAGTATTGTCTACCAGTCTCACCATGACCATTAGAAACAATAGAGTTTTATTTGTATTTTCTATTCTACCCTCCAAAGGATCTCTTCTTTTCAGCTATAAAAGAAGTACTTGGAAGAATTTAAAATCAACAAATCAGTTCAACAAACCTACACTAAACCGCTGCACAAAAACTCTGTAGAAAAATATTTTGTATTATTTTGTAAATAAGCAAGGATTTGTTGCTCGTATCTTGCTATCAGCACTTTTGTGTTGTTGTACTTAAACATTATGTAATATTCTTGTGTAAAAGCATCTTTGTATACACATCTTTGTAATCAACTGTTGTTGATAGGTTCCTTGAGAGACTCTGTATTCTACTTTCTAAAGAAGACTTTGGTTGCGGTCATTGTGGTTTGCAATAAGGATCAACAAACTTATTGGGGGTTCCAATAGGATTGATCAGACTTATTATGGTTGTCTGTAATCTAGTTGATTATAGTAGATTAAGTCCTTGTGTATAAGGAAAATCGCCTTACAGGGTGGACTAGAATAACTTAGTTAACAGTGAACGAGGATAAAAATAATTGTGTTCATCTATTTTATTCACTTGTTATCTTTCTGTTTTGAGTTGCAAAATAATTATATTTAATGCAATCTAATTCAAATTCCTATTTCTGTTTTGAGGAAGCATGTCTAATACCAAGGAAAACACGCCTATTATTAAGGAAGTGACACCTATTATCAAGGAGGACACACCTATTATCAAGGAAAACACGCCTATTTTACAAGAGGAGAATACAAAACAACATAAACAATAAAATGATGAATTACATGATGAATTGAACAAATCACCTCAAGCGGAGCAACTTAATTCGCCTAAGAAGAATGCTCCTATTCATGAGGAAGAAAGACAAGTCGATCCATTTCTTGAACATCTAGAAGATGGTGAAATAGTGGTGATAGATATGGATAAAAGGAGCAAGACTTTCATGATGTTAGTACTTTAGTTATTCAATATACTTCACATACTGTTAGCCAAATGAAAGATTTGAATGAAGCTTTTGAGGAGATCCATCTAACGCTAGCAAAAGCTAAGAGGATAATGTAATTTCAATCATCCATCCTAGAGGAGAAACGATCATTTCAGATACACATAATATTGAACTTCCATTGAGGGTACAAAATGAAATTCAAATTATCAGACACACTTGGGCTGATATGGCGTAACAAGAGTCACATTTCCCAAGTAATGTCGGTCAACCTTACAACACTCGTTCAAACGGAGTCCTATCTCACATGTCATTATAAAGTTCCTTTATTGAAACATGAGGGATATATATCACCTTGGAATATTCATAATAGGTGAGAAAATTGCTAGATGATTGGGGTAAATATTTTTCACTCTAATATATATATAGTGAAGGTAACTCTTGTTCTGACAAACTAGCGAACTATGATCATTCAATTGCATCTTCCACGTGGTGGGATATTATTCCTCCTTTCATGAAAGAGGAGTTCTTGAGGAATAAGTTAGATCTCTTTTATTATAGATTATCATAGTTTTTCGTTCTTTCCTCTTTTTTAGGGTAAGATCTCCCTTGTACATAATTTTTCATTTTTATTTATGAATTGATTAGATATAAGTATCGAATGGGGGAGAAAGGGTGTCAAACACAGAAAAGTACTTCCATTGATTAGATACCAAGTTATGCAAGATCATAAATTTTATACCATTACCATAATCAGCTTTCAAACACAGAAAAGTACTTCCATTGTTCATCAACTCATAAGAACTAACTCACCTTCTTACAAACAACTAAAACGCAAGGAAATTAACCCATTATGAAAAGGAGAACAAGGAGAAAAAGAAAGGACTAAAAGCAATGCACGGTTTTTCTCAATTTTATTCTAAAATTTAACAGACAACACATGCATTAGGATTCTCTTCCACACTAGTGTAATAGTATTGTGGCTGAGCTATCATCATAGGATAATGATAGGCTTCACAAACCTTCACAGCACCAGGTGCTTCTGACTTTTTATTTTGATCCTTTTTCTCCTCTGTAACCTTCTTTTTCTCTTCTTTCTTAGGCTCCTTGGCTGGTCCAACAGATAATATTTTAGGAAGGCACAACTTCCTCAACTTTGTCACTACTTGCACTGGATCTATGTCTCCAGTTAAGGTTAATTTCTGGTCCTTCATATCTAAAGACACTGACTCAACTCCTACAAAAACCATGGTTAATTTATTCTCTTTGATTTTTCTTTGTTTTTTATGTAAGCATGAAATAGCAAAGAAAATGTAAAAGAATTTAGAGTGACAAGAGTTTGAAGTTCCATACCTGAAATATTAGAGACCGCCTTCATGGATTTTTTCTTTGTTTTATCATCATGTATTTCCACTTGTAGCACAATTTTCTGTAATGGAAAAAAATAAGAAGATTGTTAGGAGTTTGAACCTCTAAAATCACTTCAAAACATGAAAAAACATAACATTTTTTACTATTAAAACATTTTTTGCTTGGATGAAACTATGGAGAAGTCTAGTTTGAATATATGACATTAGATCTGAAACTTTGAATGTCAAGAATTTGTAGTACCAAAAAAAACAAAAGTAAAGATTGTAGTTAATTGATGAGTTGTGCATGGAATAGGAAACAAAACAAAAGTAAGTAAGAACTATGTACAAAATCTAACATTCATTGATGCTGACAGGGTTGTTGAAGTGTGAGAGACGCAGAAAATACAAGGAGTGGTGTAGTGAAGTTTATCTAAGCTTGAAGTATTTAAAAAGAAATGAAGTCAACTTAAGTCTTGGAAAAATTAGCATAAGACTCATGTGTTCAACTTGAATTATTATGATAAGGGTCTGCACATGATTGACAGTTGTGTTTATAATATTGTCATTATTCATACAATTGATTAATTGAATGCTTGCTTGGGGATCTACAATAATTTCAACTTCAATTATTTTGAACATAGTCAAGAGTAGTAAACCATATAAGATACTTCTTCCTCTTATATTCTATCTTATTTTTCCAGTAATAATAAGATACTCACTTTTTCTGCTTACTAATTATTACACCACACATAAGCCATCATGTAGTAACAAGACTGTTAAATGAATAACTAACTTTTTAAACAATCTAACAAGTAGTTAGAGTTAGTTAGGTACTTTACCTATTTAGTTAGGGGGTTAGACATTGTTAGTAGTTATGTTAATATAGAGGTGTTCCACCATAAATATGATGTACATGGTGTCATACCTCAAATTTGTCCGTCTCATATTTAAAATATTCAAATTATTTTTAAATTTGATTTCATAAATTTTTTTTTGGTATTACACACATTTTGTTTAATAATAATTTATTTTTGTGTAATTTCACTTAACATCTACCCTTAAGCCCAATTCTCATTGGCACATCAAAATTCTAACATTTATTGACGCATATCCAAGTCACTCATTACATGCATCAATCAACCATTACATTTCATGCATCAATCAAAATGTTCACGCATAGCATAAAATCATGTTTCATGTGAACACAATCATCATTGTCAATCAAGTTATCTATTCTACGCATAATCTCGGCAGTAGATTCTCCTCTGGTTAAATCTCGGTAGATGATTTTCCAAAAGACCTCCGTAGAAGGTAGCTCTTAACAAAATCTCGGCAATAGCTTCTTCTGGTCGATCTTGGAAGATGATTTTCTAGAAGACCTCGAAAGAAGGTAGTTTCTTAACAGAATCTCGGCAGTAGATTCTCAAGGTTAGTCTCGAAGATGATTTTCCAAAAGACCTCAGCAGAAGGTGGTTCCTTATTTTGAATCTCGGCAGTAGATTCCTTTGGTTGATTTCGGCAGTTGATTATCTAAAAGTCGTCGACAGAAGGTAGTTCTCAACGAATCTCGGCAATAGATTCTCCTAGCTAATCTGGACAGTAGATTTACAATTAAAAAATATTTTTAACATGGTTTTTATAATATTATTTGATTTTTATAAATAATCACTTATAAACTTATTTAAAAATATAATGATTTATTTCAGATCATTTGTATTTTGAATAAATAAATATTTGCGTACTTTTCGTATACTTTCAAATTGAGTTTATTTATAAACCAGTAATATAGCATAATTGGTGAAGAATGAAGTTTGCAACTATAAGGTCAAGAGTTTAAATCTCTTGTACAACACTTTTAACCTTTTCTTTTTTTTCTTCTATTTTTTGTCACTAATTTTCTTTCCTTTTTAAATAGGTGTTTCTTAGTGGCCATTTGATGTCAATTTGTGTCACACTTTATTTTTGATTGGTCAATTTTGTTTTATTTCCTATTTGGATGATTTTTTTCATCTATAAATAGGACATGTTTTTCACACTTCTAGATAGTCCACAATATTCAAGAATTCCACAAATCCATAATTATTCACTTTCATCCACGATATTCACAAACTAATTTTTCACTCACAATTCCACGCACTTTCTTTTCAACACTTTTGGTGTTATTTTGTTATTTTGGCCGATGATTTCATATGAGACCTCCCACTTTTTTTCAATTTTAATTTTGTTTATTATTTTAGACCAAATGATGATTCTTATTTTTTTATTTTTATTTTATTGAAAACCTATAGCAGCGCTTAGGGAAAGGAAGCGCTGGCTATGGTAAAGCCTTTAGCAGCGCTTTTAGTAAGTGTTGTCTAAGGTATACCCTTTAGCAGCGCTTATTCTTATTTTTTATTTTTTTTTATTGAAAACCTATAGCAGCGCTTAGGGAAAGGAAGCACTGTCTATGGTAAGGCCTTTAGCAGCGCTTTTAGTAAGCGCTGTCTAAGGTATACCTTTAGCAGCGCTTACTCTAATTTTTTAATTTCTTTTTCTTTTCTGAAAACCTATAGCAGCGCTTAAGGCATAAGCGCCGTCTAAATTCAATTTTGGCATAGTGTTTCCGTTAAGAGCCTCACACCAAGAATGACACACACATGACCATATCAAAGTATCAAGGTCATTCATAACATTTTGTACATCTAACATACGGAAACACCAAAGAATATTTGATTAAACATCAAAGTTTATTTTGGTTAGAAAAACGTCGAAAGAGGTCCACAACTACGTCTACGCCTAAGATGCAAATTATCAGCAAAACATTGACACTGTTCACCATGATATATAAGAATTCAAATCACTTCAGAGATACCAATATAAACAACAGACAACATTGGAGAGTCAGTGACTAAAAAGAAAAAACCAATGGTTCAAAAGGATAAAAGATATCAAAAAATATTTACAATACATTTGGTGCATGAACATACAAAACAGTTGGTACATATACATATACATTTGGATTTCATATCGATTTAGGGAATTATGGATCGTGCATGGCATTTGAAAATCTACAATGGGTAAGAACACTACAAATTTTCTTGGGGCCTATTGTTAATTATCTACACACAACAAACAAACACCTTGGTTCAGAACAGACACAACCGGTAAACTCCGACCTTATATTTGGTTTAGTTATCTAAGATTCGATTATCAAAGCACTTTTCAAATATATATCATCTAAGTTGTGGTAGGTATGCAAAAATATATAGTTCATTGTGTCAGTCTCTAAGCGATAATGAATTATCGGGTTTGTGTTATTTATACTCTAGGTCGTGATAAATACATAAGCCTATCCTCGTATTATCCGTCCTCTAGGTTGTGGTAGGCATGCGAAAATCTATAGTTTATTGTGTCAGTCTCTAAGCGATAATGAATTATCAGGTTTGTGTTATTTAACCTCTAGGTCGCGAAAAATACACAGGCCTATCCTCGTATTATATATCCTCTAGGTTGTGGTAGGTATGCAAAAATCTATAGTTCATTGTGTCAGTCTCTAAGCGATCATGAATTATCAATGTTGTGTTATTTATCCTCTAGGTTGTGATAAATACACAATCCTATCCTCGTATTATTTATCCTCTAGGATGTGGTAGGTATGTGGAAATTTATAGTTCATTGTGTCAGTCTCTAAGCGATAATGAATTATCAGGTTTGTGTTATTTATCCTCTAGGTTGTGATAAATACACAAGCCTATACTTTTGTTATCTATCCTCTAGGTTGTGGTAGGTATGCGAAAATCTATAGTTCATTATGTCAGTATCTAAGCGATAATGAATTAGCAGGTTTGTGTTATTTCTCCTCTAGATCGTGATAAATGCACAAACCTTTATGTTTATTATTTACTCTCTAGGTTGTAGTAAATATACAAAGTTTGCGATATAATTCATTGCGCTAGTCTTGAAGCAACAATAAGTTATATGTCTCTCTGTCAAATAATTCATTGTGTTAAGTCTCCATGCGACAATGGATTATCAACTCTGTTTTATTCATCTCCTAGGCTGTGATGAATAGACAAAATATGCATTATAAGCTTATTATGTTAGTCTCGAACCGCTAGTAAGTCAACTTTCAAACTTGTGTTATTTACCTCCTAGATTATGGTAAATATACAAAATCTACGATCTCTTTTCTAAGTATTGGCGAGTTATTTGCGTCGTCATAATTATGTCATTCTCACTTTTTGCTCTAACTCTAGTAGGATAATACATCATCATCTTTGTCTATTTTTCTGTATTCTTGGGAACGATGTACAATGTATCCTTATAATCCTTTGGTCAAATTTTGAGATTCTCCGTTATTTAATAACCATTCGATCCGAATGTGCAAGAACTTCATATTCTCGCACTCTTCAATCGAAGAGTAATTAAATATGGGCAGTTGTCAAACCCTAAATTTTCCCACCCCATATTTAAACTTACTTTCATAAATTTTTTGTCTATTACTCACATTTGGTTTAACAATAATTTATTTTTTCTTATTTAAAATATATAATAATTTACTTTAAATTATTTGCATTTTTAAAATAGAAAAATATTTTTTCACCTTCATATGTTTCTACGAGCCTTTTTGTCTCAAATAGAATGACATAACACATTTTGTAAGGGAGTAAAGCTTCCAAGTGGAAGGTCTTGAGTTCAAGTCTCATTATACTATTTTTATTTATTTATATTCTTTTGTGTGTTTTTTTAATAAAAAGGATAAAAAAACCATTTTTAAATTATTTTATTGTTATTTTTGTTTTCTATTTTAAGGGCATTTTAAAGTTATTATTTTTAAATCTTTGATTTTATACGCTTAATAGTCAAGGTGTTAAAATAATTGAAATCTTTCAAAATCAATTTTTATTAATCACCAAATCAATCACAATGTTGAGAAAAAATCACAAAAGTGTCTAGGTTCAAAATCTTGTCTTTCAAGTTTCAATCAAGTCTCAATTAATATAAATCTTCCTAAAAAATCACTTTTTTTATTATTAAATTATTATTTTTGTATTTTTTAATTAATAAAATTTCAAAAAAAATTATTTTCACTTTTTTCAATTTTTAATTAAAAAATAACCAAAAATCATATAAAATATATAAATAACAAAATCACATGATTTGTCACTTCCTGATTGGTCACATGTTGACAAAACTGATTTCTCATTGGTCAGAGTTTGCAGACTTGCTGACCAAGATAAATCATAAACTTCAGGATTTCCTTGGTGTAGACTATTTCCTTTTAGGATTGTCTTTAACCTAATTTCAAATCTATAAATAGGGTTCTC